AAACATCGACCAGACTACACAGCGCAACAACCCAGAAGACAGAAATCTTCATACTCTGATGACGGAGGCAGTATGACCTCTGAAACGTTGGTAAACATCGACCAGACTACACAGCGCAACAACCCAGAAGACAGCAACTCAGGATCCGTAGTCCCTGAGCTGCTGGGACAACCGGAAACCACACTTCCTTCGTCACCACAACAAATCCGTTTCACGTTTATCCAGAGATACAAGCGAAACATGAACACATTCAACGCAAAATTGATTTGATAGTTACCACTGGGTTTTACAATGGTTAATTAAGCCCAGGGTCAGTCTTATCGTAGGCACTTCCATTGCTCTGGCATTTCTGTCTTAGTTCAGTTCACCTAAGCCCCAATTTCAAACAAGGGCTTTGTCTTGCCATTTGCGGTGCTCTTAACAACAAACGCTCTCATGCCCTTGGCAAGGGATTGTTGAATACTCATACGTCATGAGCTGCCACTTGGTACAGTTATGCTTAAAGTGGTTCAGGCAGTAACTGAATATTCACCCACTATAATTATCAGATTATAGTCATTTGTGGTTAGCTGAGCTGATTGTACATAATCCAGCCAAAGTACTCACTACTTTCTGTTGTGTTACTCCCATGGTTCACTTAATGGGAATTTAATCCAATTTGAAATTGCAAAACACTTGGATAAAAATGTATGCAACTGAAATTTGTGTCTACATATTCATGCTAGAAATGCGGTTTTCAAATCATGGCCTGTAATGACATTCTTAGAAATTCAGAACATAGAAACAGAGAACTACTCAGATGTTTCTGAATACAAAATTAATTGAAATATTTATTCTTTCTGTAGTAAATACTTTCTTTGCTTTGTGCAAAAAAACTACCATGCTTAAGCAGATTGTACAAGGAAATACAACCATAATAAACACACGTTTTAAATCATTGTTATATGAGTAGAGATTTTTTATTTATTTATTATTAATTTCAAATGAGTTTATAACCGGTGGCAGTGGTGCTACAATACAACAAAACAATGAGACACAAAAAACCATAAGACAAAAAAACAGACACAAAAACCATAAGACACAAAAACCACAAGACAAAAAACCATAAGACAAAAACCACAAGACAAAAAACCATAAGACAAAAACCACAAGACAAAAACATAAGACAACAAACCACAAGTCACAAAAAACCACAAGACACAAAAAAAACCACAAGTTACAAAAAACCATAAGACACAAAAACCATAAGACAAAAACCACAAGTCACAAAAACCATAAGACAAAAAACCACAAAACACAAAAAAACACAAGACACAACAAAACAATAAGACACAATAAAACAACACACATCACACAAAATAAAACAACTCTTAAGATTATAATACCATAAGGCACAAGTATTTAAACACAACAGATAACCTAAAGTAGATAACTTAAAAATTAATACCAACTAGACATAAGATAGTAACAGTAATGATATTCATATCAACATTGTTAGTGTATTTATCTTATGATTTACGGTCGAATAGGATTTAAAATGTGGCCCTAATGACTTAGACTTAGCCCGTGTGATATCAATCAAAATGCCCTGTTGTTGCAGTTGCCATCTGGAGACATGGGCAATAAGCAGGCGGCCCACAGTCAGTCGGAGGAGGAGGAGGATCGTGTAGCCGCTACCCCTATCTCCGCTGTCCCAGGGACGCCTCGCTCTGTCACCTCCAACTACCAGTCTCAGGAGAATGGGGAGGAGGGTGAGGAGGACCTGCCACCTCTGCCACCTCCAATGAAACCCATCACGGAGCCCATCTTGGTAACCTCGGGGAGCTCCTCGTCCTGCGCTGAGGAGAACCAGGGCAAGCGGGTACGGCCTTAAAACTGCTTCCAACATGATTTATTCCAAGAAAGGATTTTCTGTTTCTTCGTAGCAAGCAAAGAACATAAGTCAATATCTCTAAGGACGTTAATCACTGTCTACATGATTTCTTTGATGTATGTGTAAACTTTGTGGCAGGACCCGTAGCTTCCACATGTTTTGCCCATGACCAAGCTACAAAACACTCGTTTTGAATTAAAATAATCCATTTTACACCAGAACTTTGGGATGAAGGTTAGAATTTAGGACAGAAGCTACACCTTTTGACTGGAGTTGTTGAAATATCCAATAAGTTTAACCTTCGTCAACTGTTACGAATGTTTTTAAAAATATAGGAAAATTGTTACGGTGAAGGATTAATATTAGTTTATGAATACTGTACTATATTCTGCCATCTTACTGAAACATTCGTCTTAAATATCACGCAAGAAATTTTGCTTAGTAAATATCTAGCATAGAACAGTACTTAAATTCATGAAGCGTAGTAAAAATGGACAAGCAGTGTAATGAATAATATTAATCACGTTTTAGCACAAATTAAGGTAATAAAAGAATGTGTCATATCGACAGCTTGATGGCATTCTGACGGAATAGTTCCGAGCCAGTATCCGTGTCCGTCTGAATGTAGAATTGTCAATACACAATTGAGATTGTCCTCAGGAGTTGAGGGTGTCGGGCAGCCGACAGACATCGCTTTTGAATACAGGTTTATGTTCGCAGTCATCCAGCCTCTCCCTTAAAGCACTGGAAGGAGCAACGTCTGCTGACTTGGCGGAAATAGAACAAATCGTCAAAGAGCGAATGGTGTGTCTTTCATGAGCAGTATTCAATGAATGCATTTTATTTACCCAGCAATGAAGTATTTTTGCATGACGTTAAAGAAATGTTGTTATGATTGTAGGTTTATTTATGCACCAAGTACATACCTTTAATTTTGTTCGTAGATGAGCACCTGTTTTGTGAAGCGCAAGCTGTTTTAATTACTTACTCAAGTTTAAATTAATCTTGATTTGAGGTTCCAGAAATACTTGTCTGTGTCATGTTTTCTGTTTTGTAGCTTTGTGTACTTCATATTTCAGTATTGCGAAGATCATTAGTTTTGCATATAGACTGCGGATTATGTTTCTTATTATCTGATAAAGGTGATAGATACTATGTATTACACTTACTGTCGCAATTTGGTAATGATTTGTTTCATACGAAAGCCTCTTCAACTTTTCTCTTACCTGTTCCGCATTCTTGAATCGCATCTTTGTAGTGAATATAGGCGTATTGCGTTCGTTCGTAGCTTAGAGTATATTTAATTTTTCTGAAGTTTTGCTTTTTTATCGTAGTTTGTGTGTTTGCGATGTAGTGTTTATATATGTAAATATTATGTTGTTGGTGATATGTTACTTTCAAATGTATTTTATTTGTCTTTTGGGCAAAACAGATAAATATCCCAACACAATAGTTCCCACTTTTAATTGTGGAACATATAAACAGCTTTTTTTGTTCAGACAGCGCTGTAAATATATAAATTTCTCGTTCCGTTTGTAGGAGCAGCACACAGAAAACCAGGAGAGGCACAGTCAACTGAACCGGGCCCTGCAATCAGCGGGTGATATTGCTACTAGTATTTGCGATGCGGAGGAAAGTAACGTCAGTGCAACTCTGGAGTCAGCATTAGGCGGGACATTCGAGTGTGGCGCAGATAAGGGCGGTGGGGATGTGGTAGTGGCAGGGGGCAGTACCACCGATGGCAGTGACGCTTCCATCGAATCAACTGCAATTCAGAAGCGAGAATATGTGATCCGTGAGCTAGTGGATACAGAAAGGGACTATGTCAATGACCTCCATGAGGTCGTAGAAGGGTATATGGCCCTAATGAAGGACCCTGATTCTGAAATTCCCGTGCCAGAAGATTTGAGAGGAGGCAAAGACAAAATGGTGTTTGGCAATGTGGAAGCCATCTATGAGTGGCATAGGGAGTAAGTATTGACTGCCCAATTGCTCATTTGTGCAAGCAGTGAAACAATGAATATGATAGAAAAATTGTGTTGAAACATTTTGTCATTTCAAGACAGGAACGTATTCATTAGATACTGCCTGTTATAATGTGTGATGAATTTTTGGTAGGAACTATAGCAATTTCAGTTACATTTCTGAGATAGATATGGCTTTTTTCGTGGTTAATATTTATAAAAATGATTGACATCTTTCCACTTGTAAGTGAATTTGATGTAAGCTTTTACTCTTTCAGGTATGCAAAATTTTATCAACTTGTGCTCTTTTAATACTATATTCTTACACTTTATTGCCTTCTGTAGCGTAGAGCCATCAGTGGAAAGTCGATAGTCCTTTCAGAAAGGGTGAGGATGAGGGGTCACATTGCATACACCTACATCGCCATGTAATCTCTTTTTAACAAAACTTTTTTATTTTAATTATGGGACTACTTGTTAAAAATTCATTCCACTTTGTGTTTCTTGTGACGTCTTTCTGAAGTGGCAACACCTGAATTACTTTCGTTCATGTATATATCTGATCATTCTGTCCTGTCTTGGATGATTCGTGTAAAATAAATGTGTGAGTTACGAAGACGCACTTCCTGGTATATTCATTAACTGAGCGGAGGCTTCCAAGTTAGTTTTAACTCACCTTTCATAATACACTTTGGAAACGTTTATTTTAATAAATAATGTAATTTTGTAGCTTTATTTTCCAGAAGTTTAAGATATAACTTAAACGATCAGAACAAAATTTATCGTTTGATCTGTGAGAACAAGACTAATTTTAAATTCTTTAATACAGAATTTCTTTAGCGTAGTAGACCTTGAAACATGTTATGGATGATGTTGTACAGCTGGCCCATGTGTTTGAAATCAAGAGTTATTTTAAGCATTTTCTTTTTGGAGTCAGACAGAATCATTTGAGCATTCCAGAAATAACAGGATCATTAAGAATTTTAATGGGGACATAAATGCTTGTTGCTTGAGTTGTGTTTCGGTAAGTCCGTGCCAATAACCAGGGCATAGCCTAATTTTGTCGTAGTGCGGACTGAAAAAGGATAAGCTTATAAGAGACAGATGTCTGCTACACTGATACGTTTTGTCTAAATTGAGTAATGTTTCATCAAAAGAATGGCTTGGTACCAAAAATAGGTCTAGGTTAAAAATTGTGGTCCTCTTAAACTGTTTCAGTTGTTTGTTGATATTTTGTCTGGTGTAAAGCTGTCACGTAAGCTTTGGCACCAATCCCAAATTTAATAATATTCACTCTGTTGGTAGTCTTCCTTTCATATTTTACTAATGCTTGAGTTTTTCTATTTCGTCATTTGTGTTGTACCATAATGCATGAGTAATTTTTACAGTTCCTTAAATAATTGTCAGTCACATTGTAAAAATTATCACTTGTTTGTGATATGTTTGGTTGTCAGATTCTACCTCACCTTACATTATTACTAACCAATTTATCTTCGAGCAACGCCATTCAAATGTAAGTAAGTTAAGCTGTCTTGGAACACGTCTATGGCGGTGCTTGGGGAGGGGGGAATAGAAAGGAGATGCGTACCATTTATGAAATCTGTGACATGACACACATTTCAGCCAAATGGTTTTATCATTAATTTTTTCACGTAGGTCTGACGCTTTGATCAGTTTATTGTGGAGCACGATTATGATAATAATATGATATTTCTATGTTATTTTTACAGTTTTTTCCTGACGGCACTGGAAAAATGTACTGAGCATCCAGAAAGATTGGGTCCCTTGTTCAAACGATATGAACGCAAGCTTTACATGTATGTTGTCTACTGCCAAAACAAACCCGTCTCAGAATTTATTGTGTCGGAATACATCGACACCTATTTTGAGGTTTGTGATTTTAGTTGTTGATCTCTGGTTTGCACAAGCAGAAACAGTTAATGGGGCTACGTTCATGTTTATTTTTTGATATTAAATTTCCCAACTGCTTTATAAATTTGAATATAAAGTTCTTATGGTAGCAAGTATGAAGTTGACTGTCTTATGGGATGTTGCATCATGTAGTCTTGTAGAAATTGGCAATTGTTTCTGGTCATGATCACCCTGATGATGGAGGCAGTAAGAACCCCTGAAGATTATATGGCACAACTTCCCACAAGATGGCCAAACTCAAGGCTGTAAAATAATTCTCATTTTAAAACATATTAATCAGTTTCGTAAAATAAAATGCTGACTTACAGAACGGTAGGTTAATACATTATTTTACTTGTGATTAAATGGTTTTCTAAAGTTCCGTTACACTCTTACAGGAACTGCGTTTAAAGTTGGGGCATAGACTGCAGTTATGTGACCTGCTGATCAAGCCAGTTCAGCGAATTATGAAGTACCAGCTGCTTCTCCGCGACATCTATAAGTACACTGAACGAGCCAAGTTACGCAGTGAAACAGAGTCTTTGTGTCAAGCGATGGAGGTTATGCAAGTTGTACCAAAGGCTGCCAACGATATGATGGACGTGGGCCGTTTGCGGGGTTTTGATGTGAGTTTCCTTTGGTTCGCAGTATTACTGCGATACACCCATCTTCATGTTGATTTTTGCTTAAGAACAGTAAGCATAAATCAATAAAAACTAATATTCTTAGTAATTCATTTCAGATATTTTGATAAATTTTCTGCTGATCATATCCTGTTAGATGTCCAATGCATAAATTGTGTTGATGTTAGTGATCTCTAATCACATTCAACTTTGAAACTTAGTCACAATTTTTTTTTATTTCACATTTTCTTTTGGTGGTTGGATGATGTAACTTTGACATGATGAATGTTTAGAAGATTTTGTGCATTTATTTGGTATATTTTTATTCTGCGAGTTAGGTCAAAAATGCCACGTTATGGCTTTTAATTTTTTGTTACAATTTAACTTAAAATCAACTTGTTTTAACTTATATACACTGAAATGTTTGAATTATAAAGTTCTATAATATTTGCCATATAGACTTCGTTTTGCATCTCTCCTCGAGTCAAAGAAAATTCATTATTAAAATACGCT